AGTAAAGGTTTTTATGTTAATAAACGAGTTTATTATAAATTATGCTCCATTGGTCTTTTTGTGTTTTCTACCCACCTTTACCTCCGTGGCGGTGAGATAGTGTGATGTCTTTACTGGGCTGGTGTAGCTCATTCCTTATTTAACCATTTTAGATCAAGAAGACATTGTTCCTGAGCCCGTTCCGCAGGAAGACGGCGAAGGGGACGCCTAAAGACTCCGTAGTTATATTTATAGTTCTTACTTTCGAGTATCTCTTTTAGTTAGTTTGTTCTTTTATATTTTGAGTACGTTTTTAGTTTTTGTGTAAGGGATGTTAATCAAAATTTTTATTACGCTTCCACATTTGACATTTTTAATACACATATTTCATTCAAAATTTCCGGGGCCGTTACATGTGCAGATCATCCTTTCTGACTGTCCATCAGTCTGAGAGTGAAATGCAGTACTAAGGGACAGTTTCGTTTCTATGACTTCCTAAAAGCTAAACTAAAACTGAGAAGTGAACCTGGAGTCCCTATCGGACACTACTGTCACTTGTACTTCATATAATCTGACTATTTTTTTAATATACATTCTTGCTAACTTGTCCAAGGGATTGATTATCCTGATGGCCAAGAAGTGAGAAGACTTGGTAAGCCAGTCGACAATTACCTAGATGACATCATGTCCTAAGCGTGCCCTAGGAAGTCTTGTCACGAAATCCATGGTGATATATTCCCACTTCTACTCCAAAATTGGTAATGGCTGAAGTAGCCCATCTGGGCGTTGATACTTTGTTTTAACCTGCTGACATACTAAACACTTAGAAACAAAGTCAGCTACATCACTTTTTATCCCGTTCCACCAAAATCGGAGTCGCATATTTTAATACATCTTAATACTTCTGGGATGCATGACAAACTTTGAGTTATGGATCTCTGTTATAATGTCCCTTTTCAACTCACTATCACATAAAACACACACTTTGTCCTGGAATCTAAGCAACCCATTGGTAGAGACTCAGAATTCTGAGTTAACTCCATGTTCTGCATCTTTATTGAGGATTGCTAAGGTGGAATCAGCGGACTGAGCTTCCTTTATTCTTTAGATGAACTCAGGCTGAACAGTTAGATGACCCAAACATGTGACTCTCTTCAGGTCCTGAAGCCGTACCTGTTGTGCAGCCCCTATTTTCATGCATTCTGAAACCATCAAATGAGCTAATGTACTTGTACTTTTCCTGCTGAGTGCGTTGGTTACCACGTTGCCCTTACTCTGATGATACAAGATGTCACAATCATAGTCCTTGAGGAGTTCTATCCACATTCTCTGACACATGTTGAGATCCTTTTGAGTGAATATATATTTCAAGCTCTTATGATCGGTATAGATATGAAAGGTCTCCCCATATAAGTTATGGCGCCAAGTCTTCAAGGCGTGGATGATTGCGATAAGTTCTAAGTCATAGGTGGGATAATTTTTCTCATGACTCTTCAACTGTCTGAACCCATAGGCTATGACATTCCCATGCTACATCAAAACACAACCTAACCCTAGGTAGGAGGCATCACTGTAAACTGTATATCCACTCGATTCGCTCGACAAGGCCAACACCGATGCGGTAGTCAACCATATCTTTAGTTCTGAAAAAAAAAATTCACAGTCCTCATTCCACTCAAACTTGACGTTCTTTTTTGTGAGTCGAATCAGAGGAGCAACTAGAGTAGAAAACCCTTCCACAAACCTGCAGTAATAACCTCCATCCCTAGAAAGCTACAAATCTCCTTAACCGAGGTCAATTTTTTTCATCCGAGTACTGCTTCAACTTTTTTTAGGTTTACTGACACTCCATCCTTTAATATGCTGTGTCTTAAGAAGGTAGTATGTTCAAGCCAGAACCCACACTTACTCAACTTCACATACAGCTTCTTCTCTCTAAGAACCTACAAAACCTGAGTCAGATGGTGAGCATGTTCCTCTCTGCTTTTTGAATAAACCAAAATATCATCGATGAACATAATGAAAAACTGATCTAGGAATTATCTGAAAATTTTGTTCATCATGTCCATAAAGTGGTTGGAGCGTTGGTTAGTGCAAATGGCATAAATAGGAACTCTTAGTGTTTGTACCTGGTTCGAAAAACTATTTTGGGAATGTCTTCTGTCTTGATTTTTACCTGATGGTAACCTGAACGCATGTCTATCTTGGAGAAGACCTGGATACCCTGCAACTGATCAAAGAGGTCATCGATCTTGGGGAGGAGGTATTTATTCTTGATCATGACCCTGTTCAGACCTCTGTAGTCAATACATAACCTCAACGTTCCATCTCTCTTTCTTGCAAATGTGACTCCAGAATCCTAACGGGACACACTATGTCAGATGAATCCACTGTCCTACAATTCAGTGAGTTCTTTCCTCAGTTCCTCCATTTCAATACGACTCATGCGATAAGGAGCAACCGAAATAGGCTGGGTGCCTGGTTGAAGATATATGGTAAATTCAACTTCTCTGTCCACTGGCAGTCTAGGTAGTTCATCTAGAAACACATCTGGAAAGTGTCGGACTGTCGGAATCTCTTGAATACAAATTTCCTTCTTGGGTTTTCCTAGTTAGAAAAAATAGTTGGGTTAAAGTACTTGATAATAAGAAAAATTGCGAAGATTCCTCTCTATTAACTGTACCTTAGCTAGAACTGCCGAATAAATACTGTTCCCAAGTGACTGAAATGGGTAGGGTGGCCTGCTTGAGTTGCCACCAGCGGTCTACTTCTCCCACAAGCATGTAGGTAGCAAGGATGACTTTCTGTTCGGGAATTACCCCAAGGGTCGTAAAAGCCTTCTCTGTCTCAGCTAGCCAGTACTCGGCCTCTTCAAAGGAGGATCCCCCTATAAAAGTATATGAATTTAGTCTTTTATACCTTTCAATGTAGCTTGGGTTCATCATAGGAGGAGTTGGGTCCCATAGAAGAGGGATTGGACTGTGCTAAGGATGTACTGGATGGTGCTGCGTGGTACTTGATGATATGGTGAAGGCACCAGATTGTACTATGGTGGTGCCAGGTGATGTGGTGGCTGGGGCGCCGGGTGATGTGGTGATGCTAGGTGGCACTGTGGAGGAGCATGGTCATACCGAGGTGGCTCGGGATCCTCTTGCTACAGAGGTGGCTCAACCTGTGGCAGCAGGGGAGAGTCCGGTAGCTCCCTCTTTTCCTCTCGGGTCTGCTAGGCAAACATCATCTCTAAGCGAACCCTCCTGAGCTGCTCGGTTTAGTGGGGGTCTTCATCTCCTTATCTATTTATACTTGCATTTCATAGTGAATGGTTGAGCGATAATTCATTATTTTTTGTGTTTCCTAAGGATTTTGTGTAAGGAATGGGTTCGAGAAACGCGGCTCTGATACCAACTGTAACGACCCTGAAAATCTAAAGAAAATAAATAATAATTTAACTGCGGAAGCAAAATAATTAGTTAGGGTTTACATTCTTTACACAATAACTTAAAGTACCAAACAGTACTACGGGAATTACCCTTTTGAATGAAATACAAATAAATAAGAAAATAAACGAAAAATAAATAAAACTAGCATCATATTCGCAACCCTCTTATAGATCAAGCACTGGATCCTAGTTCTCTTGATATGAAATAGTTAAATAAGGAATGAGCTCCACTAACCCAGTAAGAATATCACAACTAACACAAAAATGAAGGTTGGTAGAAAAATTAAAAAAAAATAAAAAATGAAGCACTTAATTAAGTAAATTTATTTATCAATAATAAAACCATTTACTGTCCGCTTACCGTAGCGAGATTTACAAAAATAACCTATAGAGACAATAATATAACACTTATCATGATTTTATATCCAATCGGTAATATGCACATTTTATAATTTCATATTGAATAAATCAAAACAACAACTGTCCTTTTTCATCAGTCTGCTGGTATCCATGGGGATCAATAGGGATGTCCCCACTATGCGTGAACCTTTTCCTTTAACATTCTCAATTAACGAGTCATTCCCATACCCCATCCGATATGAGCACTAAATTACTAAATCTCAATACCCCGTCCGGTATGAGGGTCAAACGGGTCGTTCCCATACCATATCCGATATGAGCGCCAAATTACCAAGCCTCGATACCTCGTCTGGTATGAAACAATGTTCACGGTAGAGTTTTATATGCACCCAGTCCGTCCACCATCTCTCAGGATATCAAGTAAGGCTGTCGTTTCATCCATTCACTTAATCACACAATTTTCGTTTACCTTTAACCTCTAGTTCCTCAATTCAACCGTAACCATACAAAAAAAAAACAATACATGCATTGAAAACTATAAAATTGATCAATCAAATGCTATCATACATTTACTGTAAAATAAATCAACAGAATCAGTAATGAATAGTTTCTAGTTCTGGCTCCATTAGAAACTCGTAATTAATTATGAATATTTTTTAAGTTGCACAAAATACCGTATTATTGTTAATTATACTTCAATTCTGTAACAGAGAATAGAGTGAGGAATTCTTACTCAATTTGATTTTCGAAAAGCTAAGTTGTTGACTGCGCTTACTAGCATTCCCCGGGTTCCTTAAATTTTTTTTCTGGGATTAAAATATGCTACAAGTACTTTGAAATATCCTAAAAAAATCAAAAACAGTATTTGAACCCTTTTTTGGCCAATTCTGGAATTCCGGCACGATGGCTCCGCCGTGCTCCGGTGACGGCCACCACCCGCGGCGGTGGTCCTCATCGAGTTGAATGTTTTCGATTATTTTAGCTTAATTCAACCAGTTTTGCATCAATCCCTGCGAGAAAATACGTTAAGGGGCCTCCGTTGGCCAAAAAAAATAAAAAACCAAAACTCACCGACAACGGGCTTTCCGGTGCGTTTGCCTCGCTCTAGCCAATGTTAGCCAGTTTTGGTCAATTTTGGCCGGTTTTAACTGTATCCCTACAGAAAAACACGTTAAGGCCTCGGTTGGCCAGGAAATTACAAAAAATCGAACTTGTCGGGGGGGGAGACCTTTGGGTACGGCGGCTCCGCCAGTTTTCCTTTGCAATTGAGGTTCTTTCTTCGGCTACCCTTAATAGAAAAGGACGGTGAATACAATGATCGAAAAATAACGTGAAAAGGGAATAAAAAAGGAGCTCATCATAGGGATTTTAGGGTTTTAGCTACAGTGGCTCCGCAAGCTTTGCCCACAGTTTTTGGCTTACCCGCCATCTCTCTTACTCCGATTTGGCCACAGGAGTACTTGGAATCGAATTCCGAGTAGGTAGGAAAATTTTTTTACCTTTTTTGGCAGTCGATGGTGGCTCTGGTGTGGCGGCAGTGGGCGGTCGACGGAGGGCTGGCGGCTAGGGTTTAAGTTCCTGTGTGATGCGAAGTATTTATAACCATCCAACATTGATCTAAATCGTTTATCGCGATCGATTTTGTCTGTCCGATCGTGCCTAAGGAAAAAATGGATGCGGGCCGTCCATGCGCGCAGGATCGATCCTGGGCCGTCTGGTTGCGGGGCACGCAGATCGCCAGTGTGACCTCCTGCGTGACACTGATGTTAGTGCGCCTTGCCACATGGCGTGTTCTAGTTTGTCAAGGCTACTGGTTGGGCAGTCATACGTGGTCGAACTTTCTATATTTGTACTTTGATATCCTGTTTTTAATTTTTCTTTCGAAAACACCTTCAAAACTCAAATTTTCATCAATTTTTTTTTAAATTATTTTCAATCTCGTCCTTAATTCATTTTTTCTCAAAATTTCACTTAAATAAAAATAAATTAAATTAAATTAATTAATTATTTTAAATTAATAATTAAAAATAAAAAATTATCTCGGATCGTTTTTCGAATTCGGGTATTACAGTAAAAATTATTATTTAATAAATAATAAATAAAAATTGTTGAATTATTTAATAAATTGATTTAAATTTTATCAAATATAATTTTTTTAATATAAATGCGTACATTTTGATTAATTAAGTTATACATACACATTAACCATTAAAAAACGCGTAACACATAACCTAACTTTTGTATCATCAACCACGTAGATACATAATATATTGCATGTATTTTCTTTTTTGACAAAAAAGAGAGATGGAATTACTTGTAGTTTGAGGTTACCACTGTACTTTAGTCATGAATACTCAAAACTCAAAAGAAGTGCCTTCAATAGGTCGGCAACTTTGGCATCTACACTTGTCAATTTCTCTTTTTTTCTTTTTTGTTTTTAAAAAGATAAGAAGACCAATAAGTTTTATATTACATTTATGGAA